TGCGCGAGCCAAGAGGGGTACGCACGCGCACGCGGATGAGCCGATGTCTGTATGTCGGCGTGCGAGCAGACAGACAAGCCGGTGGGACCGAGGGGGGGGGTCCCTATGTGGCAGAGAGGGAGAGAGACAGAGAGAGAGAGAGAGGGGGGGGGAGAAGGAGAGAAACTAGCTCCCGCTGGGCGACAGCAGGAGGCGCGTGGAGGCAACCAGGGAGCCGCCTTTCCTCGAAGGGGGGAGGGGGCAAGAGTCGGGAGAGGTGCAAATGGGGGAGGGGGAAGTGGCGGGGGGGGGGGGGGGGGGGCGCAGGGCGAGAGGACAGGCGAGCAAAAAATGGGGAAGGGGCAGACACGACAGTCTGGAGGGGGGGAAAATCCATGATGGGTGACGAGGGCGCTCGCCCGGCGGGCGGCGCCTGCAGCACAAGCCTTCCCTTCAAGTTTCAACTCCCCTGGGAAGGCAGGGCCCCGTCCCCCCCCCCTCCTCCTCCTCCTCCCCCGGTCACCCTGTGCCCGGGCCGGCCGCCGAGGGGTCGAGGCTCAGACTTTTTGTTGGGGCGAAAGACCCCCGGCAGGAGGCAGCACGTCGCTTGGTGGTCTTCCGGAAGTGGTGGTGGTGGTGGTGGTGCTGGTGGTGCCGGTGGTGCCGGTGTGCGAGCCGAGAGAATGTGAAAGACGGCCCCGCCCGGGGCTTGGGCGCGCGCATGCATACACACACACACACACACACACACTCACACGGATACGACCGGAGACGAAGCCGACAACCGGCCTGCCCCGGAGGCCCGCGGCCTTCGCCGCCACGTCTTGCCGCACGGCGGGCGGGAAACATAAAAAAAGTCCGTGAGTTACACGGAAAAGCTGTGCGGCACTCTCCTCCCGCCTGTTTAAACAAGTGATCATTTCACGCCTGCAAGTGCAAACGCCTGGGCAGGGGGGGGGGGGGGCGGGAACACACGGCACTCATCGAGGCGCGGGGTCACCCGGGCCTTCCTAAAGACGAGACGAAGCGCCCAGACCCACGTCTTGGAGGGGGGGGAATGGACTGGGGC